TTCTGACAATTGCTTTGAATCCATTACTGACTTAAGTATCGGAGTGCCTTCGATCGAAGTACTTCGATCTTGGACAGTTTGTTCATTTTGTAGGAAAGGGAAGACTGAGAGACCTAGTTCAGTAGCATATACTTACCAAGGATATCAACCTTTCGTCCGTGTGAGAGGTTTGTCAGTTTTTATCACTTACATTGTTAATCTATGATCTTCTCTCACTCTCATTTATTTCATGCAACTGTAACAAAATCGATGTGATTTTGGACGTTGTTGGTGTGGAATTCCAATTCTATTCTTGCGCAATTGTGTGATGGGTTCAATCATACAGTTCCGAAGGCTTATCCATACATTTTATATGTATACTATGTACTCTATGTCTTTGCTAATCCTAAAGTTGGAATCTTAATTGTGTGCCCACTCCACTGTGTTATTACCTTAGTATGAGATTGGTTCATAGTTCTATGATGTTTCATAATTACGAGTTTCAGCCTCAGCTTGGATTCAAGCTCAAACTTAGAAATTTCCTATGCATAATATAAGATAATTCCGAACTGTGTTTTTTGGGGCAGGCCTTCACAAAATTCAAGCTCGGTATATGAGCCCGAATCGAACCATGACACATCCACAAAAACATGTCACAACAAAAAACAAAAGAGGCTAAAGGTGTATGCTGTAAAGTGATTAATGTTAGTTTTCTTTTCAATACATAATTAGTAAACGCGATTGTGCAACTCTCAATGGGTCAATAGGAGGCAGCCATCAATTACAGTTGATTATGAAGAAATTGTTGAAGATAACATCGCGTGATATGATGAGATCAACCAAAGATTATTACTTCTCTTTTAGATTCTTGTGTATCTCAATGTGATTATTTACTCTAAAAATAGGGTATAACCCATTTGTCCTAAGCACTAAGAATTAATGAGAATATGTAGCCAGCTCATTAGGCTTTGGTTCGGGAATGTAGGTCTTATGACCAAACCACGTAGAATCTCTCGTGTTCATTCTTGATGAAATTCTAATGGTCTTTTGTTGAACATTGGCTTGACCAAATCAGCAATAAGGGAAGTGCAGTGCTGCTATACAACATAAAAATATTAAAATAGCGAAGCATTGAGCTTGCCATGTGAATCTCAATCTGTGTCCCTTGTGTGGTGAGTGTGTTAGAATCGATAATGATGTTACCATATTTTGGGTTAGCTTACAATGTTTTGGGGGTGAGATTTACTTGTTTTAGAGATGTGGTTATCACTTTTGGGGGTGAGATATCTAGTATATCTAGTGTAGTTGCTACTTTTAGGGTATTGTTATCACATTTTGGGGGTGAAATTATCGTTTTCTAGGGTTGAGCTTACCACTTTTTGGGTATAGTTATCGCATTTTGGGGTGTGATCATTACATAGTGAAGTTACAAATTTTTGGGATGTTGTTATCACTCTTTTGAGTGTGGTTACCACAATTTGGGGGATGTTACCATTTTTTTGAGTAAATATTGAATGCAGCGATCACCAACCAATAATAAAACTTCAAATGGATAAGGTGAACCCCACTTAGGGTACGTGGAAAAAGGGTGAGGAGTTATTTGCTTATATAAAAGTTAGTTATTAATTTTTGTAGGGTCCATTTGTTTATTTGTTTTAATATTATTGATTGGTGATATCACCGTTGTAATGAATATTTTCTCCATTTTTTTGAGTTTCGTTAGCACATTTTGGGATTTCGTTATCACATTTTGAGGTAAGATTATCACTTTTTTGGCTTGGTTATCACATCTTGGGGAGAGATTATTACTTTTTTGAATGTGGTTAGCATGTTTTGGGCTAAAGTTACCAATTTTTTGGGTGTAATTACATTTCTGATACATTTATTTTTTAAGATCAATCATGGTTAAACTAGATCAATCCTAAAAAAATTTTAGGATCCATCATGGTCTGCCATGGTCGATCTTAAATGAAAATTTAGGATCAACTAAGGCAAACCATGATCGATCCCATTACAAATTAAGGATCGATCATTGGAACTTTAATGGGATCCAACAATCAATAATATATCAACACATATGGATCTAATCACAAAACATTCTTTCTCCTAATTTATCATCGATCATCACAAAATATATACAATTTCTTTCAATTGACATTCAATTTATTAAATTGACATCAAATTAAAATCTAAATTAACAATAAATTAACATTTAGCTCCTTAAATCAATATAAAATTAACATTCAATTCATCAAATTGTTAATAAGTTAACATTCAAATTTATCAAATCGACATTCAATTTCACCTAATTAACATTCAATTTAACAAATTAATTCGGGCGGAAACTTGAACTGAGAAATTGTCAAGTCTATGTACCTTTAAGTCGATCATGTTGCATGAAATGTCTTCCTAATTTGTTCACGATTGAATATAATTTCTTAAATTTATATTCTATAGCAAGTTGTTTATGTTCCAAGTTGATTTAATACCCATTTAAGAGAAATGTCTTTTCTTGAATTTAAGAGTATTTCAATTTCTTTTCATCCTTAACTTATCTATTTTATGTTTAATAGCTCTTCCTTATTATTATACGGCAAAAGGTAATGCGGTTTTCTGAGTTTGAATCTTGGTAATCTCTTATAGTCAAGTCATGAAGAATTTATCTTTCAATAAAATCCTAGTTCCGGCTTAGATGGCTTACCTTTGACCGGACCGGAGAGGAGATTAGTCGAGGTGAGAGTAAATTGGTCTAAACACTCCTAACCGCTAAACAAAAAAAAAAGATAATATGGTCTGTTAAGTCCATGAAAGATATTGAATGAATTTATATCTTTACAAATTTTGGATAAAGTAAAATTATTAAGAGAATTTCTAACAGTTTCATATCATGAACCAGTTTTGTCCCCGATAGCTTTGGCTAGGAAAACAATCTATGTTTTGGGTTTAATGCTAATACGACCTTGGTCAACAAATTTGAGACTCCATCCTTAGAGTATTAGTATGGATTTGGGTACGTTAGATATAACCAAACTAGGATTTTATATTAATGGAGTTAAACAATTGTGTAATCACAATTTTTATTTTATGAATTCATTCAATAAATTATCGTTAAAAACAAACAATGAGTTGTTACTACCATTTCTTGTTTGGTACATATATGATTAATGTACATCCCATGTACCTATATTTATATTCATATTAGTCACGATCTTTTGATTTTTTACTCATTATGCAAAAATATATCACATTTAAGGGTCATCTGTATATTACTATTATACAACTTAGTACATTCTATTAATTTACAACTTTTTTATCCAATTGCATTTACATTAATCTAAAAAATTTCATTGTCTGATAAAAATGGGCTCTGACTAGACTGCATTGCACGCAGATAGATCTTCACTGGTGTTTTATACAAAAATATATTTTTGGTAACTTGGATCAATAGAACAATTTGAAGGTATTCTGATTTGACTTCCTTTGTGTACTATGCAGTAAAATATCAAATCAAATATGAGTTTCATTGTATTTTGAAACGAAGTCATTGTCACCCAATGCACACAAAGCAGCGTAATAACATGCAATTTTTAAAATTCGAACTTGTAGGGTTTAATTTTATTGTACACATATGCTTGGGGTTTTATTGAGAAATTGAGTTCAGTTTATAATGTTCGCGAATATTTTTGTCGAGCTGACTTTCTTCAAGAATAAAAGCCTAGTAGTCGAGCTCAATCAATTACAATTGGACCGAATTTAAGCATAGTCAAACTCGCAAAGTTAACTTAATTAACAACTCCATTTGTTAGCCTCTTCAACATGGTGAGGGAAGGGACTGCTTCTCTTCAAAAAAACACTATTTTCCTTTACAATATTCTTTTTAGATGGAAGTGAAATCTGCTCTGTTCCATATGCAGAGCATTATGGAATTACTCCATTTCAGGTTCTTAACATTGATCATGTCCCCAACTTTTAAATTTCATTAGCTGTCTGCTCCAACTCTCAAGAGTGAGTTTAAATGAAGTGTTGGCAAATAGCTTTAGACTGCGATACATCACCATTTCAGAATGCCGTCATTGTGAAATCCCATGATTAGCAAACTCTGTTGTTTGGACAAATTTAGATATGTAGGAAACTTGCACAACTGGATTTGCAGACTCCCTAGTTTTCTAGTTGCATGTAATAACATTTTATGTGGATGGAATTAAACCTTGTGAGCGTGTAACTTTGACAGATCAATTTGAACCCTGAACTTAAAAATATTCAGTAAATAGAGATTTTTAGTACTCGAGTTGGGTTTGAACAAAAAAATATCTCAGCCCAATTTATATCTGGGTAATACGTAAATTGGGGTCTTAGGTCAACCCAAATTCACTAACTTGGTTTCAATCCGAATAGAACCAAATTTTTAGTCCGACTGATTTAACATTGGAATTGAACTCGACTTTCAACCCATGTTGTAAAACCGGAGAATTGAACCTGATTTGTCAACCTGAGTTATGTAGCCAAAGTTCAACTCGAGCACAAAAATCTAATCACGTGCAATACTTGATTACAATATTTATTACTGGAATTCAGGTCAAATTGATCTCTCAACCTACCTAAGTTGCACTTCTACATTAAATTGCCCACATCACACTATTAGTCCAAGTAAATCATTCGCGTGAGAAGAGAATTTGAGCAAAAAATTGGAATGGTACTCAAGAAGAGAAGAGAAAATTACCTAGCAAGATAATTAAATCATAGGACAACTACTTACAAAACAAGCAAATTAGACGAAAAAGTTAATCTAAATCATAAGATTAATTCATGGAAATGGTACAAGAGTCTAGTACACAACTAATCAATATAATCCAAAAAAAAAAAAGTGCAGACGACACAAGACACAAATGGCATACTTCTCAAGAAACCCAATCGAACAAACCAATATTTATATGACAAATCTTCCTCATGTAGGTAATAAAATCTCTAACCTGTCCATGAGCTTAGATATGTGGAAAAAAATAAAAAATAAAAACAAAATAGCCTATAAACAACACATACATCAACATACATGGACACTCAATGCTACAGAAAAATGAAACAGTCCAAGGCAATGAGAGGATTATCAATGTCCTCCATTGGAATTGGATCAACGTTTTGACTGGAAACTGCTGCTGGAACTGAAATTTCATCAACTTTTGCAACCTGGTGAGCATATGCCACTTTATTCTTCAAAGAAGAATGATATCTCCCCAAATTGTTGTTTGGACTTGCAGGCCTAAGATTTTCCTTCCTCCCAAACAACCCTGAAGAATTAACTGCATTTTCCATTGAGCCAACCGATTGCTTGTAGTAACTAATCTCTTGCTGTGTATTTTTCGAAACCCCCCTACAGTTATCTCCATTAAATCTTCGACTTGGAGATGGTGATCTCGTGGTTCTATTTGGATGGAGATAAGTGGAACTTGGTCTCTCAGGTTCCCTTCTAAAGCTTTTTTGTCTTGTAAGAGTTGGTGAATTTGAACGAGGTCTCTTCTGTGGTGTCGAATGTAGTACCATTTCTGCAACAGGTTGCTTTTGTGATGGTGGAGCAACAATTGTTTTAGCTGGTAAGTCGAATTTTCGGGCATGAATTCTATTCTTCACTGGCTGTTCAAGACTTCCCTTGATTGTATCGAGACCAATTATATGTGGATTCTCCTTAACACAAGACCATAAGAACTCACTCGAAAATGACCGGTCCCTTGAGCTTAAAACTGAAGATGAGCAAGACGATGACAACGATAACGATGATGACAGCGAACACCCACTGCTAGTGCTACTAGTAGGTGGAGATGGAGGAGGAGGGAGTGTTTTATGTGTGGGGAGAGAGAGTGGCGACACAGCCGGAGGAGCTTGGGAGATGACAAGCTTGTCTTGGACATGGTTAAACTCTTCCTTGAATTTTCTTTTCTTAGGTGTACATTTGCTAAAGCAAGACCCCATTGATTTGGGTTTGAGTGAGAGACAGAAATGAGAAAGGGAGTGAAGATATGTTGAAGGGTTGGCATAACAAAGTGTTTGTGTTTATGTTTACGTATATAGAATTGAAAAAGGCAATGGGAAAGGTGGAGTGGCATTTGCTTTTGGTCTCACTCTTTTTCAGATATTTGAATCTGGTTGCCGGGTATGGATCCGTTGTATAACGGTTATATAAAACAAAGTATGATGACGTTCACCTTTAATTTCTTTGCTTTTTGTATCATGGTTTTGGGGTTTGTGGACAGAGTCATCATATAAGTGTTCCAGATAAGACCAGAATTTGGTAGGAGGGCCATGGATAACCGGAAGCCCATATGGCCGTGGCTCGCCCAAACTTTTCTTTTTTTTTTTTCGATCAACTCACCCAAACTTTGAAGGTAGCCCAGACGTTCCATTTTTCTGCCCACCAAGGATCGGTGGACTAGCCCAGCATTGCCCATCCTGCAAGCCTGTCGACCAACTAAAATTCAAAAGAAAACTGGCAAAAAGGGAAAATTTGAAAAAAAAAAAAAAAAAAAGGGATAATTGGCAAAGGATACACCTATAACTACTTATTTGTCTAAATGTACATACCTCAGACTTTTAACTGGAAAGATTCTACGACATATATGAAACAATCAGGAAGGGAATAATGTAAGATTTTACTCTGTAAAACCTCATTTTTTATTTTTTTTCGTCATTGCAGTAAAGGAAGAGTTGAAGAACTCATGTATTCAACTTGATAGAGATTCAGTGCAAAAACCAAAAAAACAAAAACAAAAACAAAACTTCATGCAGACTCTATGAAGGATTTCTCTTTTAGAGGATCCAATGAAGCTGCCTACGAAATGGAGGGTAGGCTTTGGCAGATTAATAGCTCTAGTGAAACCCGACATAAAGGGCCTAATCAGAACTGTAATTTTTTTTAGCTGCCCAATATTCCAAAGTCAATAATAACTTAGTGATAGGGCTATCAATGGATAGTGTCAGGTTTAAATCATGTAATGTAAAAATTTGTTCCATTCATATTCAATTTATCTATAATCGGGGTTTTTGTCATGTAATCACGCTTAGTCGATTTTTTCGACTCATTTATTTGACATGTTTAATGGGTCTATCTGCTTACCATCCAACCCCACTAATTGTATAGCGATTTTGTATCAAGTTTGTGGATCATACCTAAAACTACCAAGCCTACTTAGAGATATGCAGTAGTAGATGTGTGGATAAAAGCAAGTTTACTATTCAATAGATTTCGATCCTCCCCAACACACGTTCTTTGGATTTTCTTCGACTGTTGTCTGTTATATGGAGTAACTGGGCTTACAAATGTCAAGGGAAGTTTGTGGGCTTTGGAGTTCAAAGAAGAGGAGTCAGAAAACAATGGATTGACACAGAAATGGTGGCTTTTAAGAGGCAAGGCCCACTGTGATAGTCCAGCCCGTCAAGCTAACATCTTTTTACTGTAGCTTACTTTTGGAGGAAGTCAAAAAAACTCCCTAAGAAGAATCTCCCGTGCAATTGCGAATGTGGTTGGTCTCAGTTAATGTATAAAGCTTTTGTAGATATCGGGGTCTACGAAGATATAAATAGTAAGCAATTTTATTTGTGTTTTACAAAACCTAATTCTTAGATTTGAATCTATCATGTACCATTTAGACAAATAAACACTCGTCATTGCCCGAGATCTAACCTCCAACTACGAATACCTGGTGCATATCCAGAGAAAAAAGTTTAGCATTCAGTCTCCATTGACAAAATTGGGCCGCCCAAGTGTGTAAAGAACAATTGAAGAATTCAAAACATGAAAAATTATATCGTCTGGTTTCACAGTTATTCTTCTTTTTTACATCTCCTTTACATGGTAGGGGTGTAATTAGAACCGGTAACCCGAATTAGACTCGAATTCAATCCAAAAAAAAAAAGTCTTGGGTTGAGATTTTTAATATTTTGTTTAGATTTGGGCAAAAAAAACATCAATTCAAATTGAATTTGGACAGTACAAAGTTGAGATCTCGGATTTTCGGGTTTAACTCGAATATATAAATCGGATTCAACCCAAGCATATTTAAAAATAAATATATAAATCAATATAACAATATAACTTAGAAGTTAAAACACTAGGATTCAGTCTTATGTTAAACATCTAGCTATTATGTCTGTATGTTAAACATTGATTTTTATACTTTAAATACTATGATTTTTATGTTAAACATTTGATTGGACTTGTTGGCTGTTACTGTAGATGAATACTATGTAGTATTATATACCAGGTTTAAAACAACAGGCTGATTTCGGATCTGAATGAACCCAACTCGAATTATAACCCAAAATCAGTCTGAATTACGTAACTCGAACCAACCTGAATTCTAACTCAAAATTTATTCAAATTATTTAATCCGAATTCAATTAGAGGCGGTCCGAATTAAAATTAAACAATACTCAAGTTGAGATCGGATTAAAGCTAAGATTGAGAATTATTTTGAACTATAATTGACCTTTTAACCCATCTAATTCGCTCAAATTACACCCCTACTATTACATGGTAACTAAGTTGATATTAAAGTACAAGGGTGGTCCACTTAGCCCTTTTGCCAGGCTAGTAGGTCATGGTTTTGTTTGTGAGAATTACTTTCTTATCGAAATAAAGATAAAATTATTTACCATTTACTTCACCCGTACATCTGTTTTATTTCACTCGTTTATCCTAAAGGGAATTAAATGTTTGTCCCATAAACGGACTATTTTAAGCCTGCGTTATCTTGGTGTACCGGAGAGTGACTCTTCTGGTAGGGAAGTCTAAGACGTCAAGCAACATAACATCACCCGTTGCGTTGTAGCCAAAGCTTTTCACACAATGATACCACGATTCTAACAATAATATATACTTATACCTAATTAGCCATTTAGTTCGAATATTTAGGTTGTGTTTGAGATGACTTATAAAATTTAAAAAATATTTTTTGAATAAGTATTTCTCAAAAATACTACCATTAAAAAAACACCGCTTAGATATTAAAAAAAAATTAAAATAAAAAATATTTTATAAAAAAGTATGTGGTGGATGTGGTGGGCACCGATGCAGCAGTGATCTCAATTGGTGATGGATGACAATGATGATGGTGGGATAGTGACAGTGGTGGTGATGGTGAAGACGAATGTGGTGGGGTGGTGGCGGTGGTTGTGATGGTGGAGGGTGGCACGCAGTAGTGGTGATAATGGTGAAATATTTTGTAGATAAGTGATTTTAAAGAAGTATAATTTTTTTTAACTTTTACTTATTTATTTATTTAAGTGGTAACATTATTTTTAACTTATTTAAAAGTAATTAAAATAAATTGTTTCAAACATTATTTTTTTTAAAAAAAAATTATAAATTTTAAAAATATTTTTAAAAAATCATCTCAAGCACACTTTTAATGAATTTATAACTTTTGGACTAATAGAGAATTAGAGGTCTTCATTCGATATCAAGATCTATTATTAATTCAAAGAATATAATATATTAAGTTTTTAAATTAGATGTACATTGTCAAGTCGTAATCGATTCTGTTTTAAACATCTTTTCTAGAATAAATTGCTTTGCAAAAAAAGTTAAAAATAGTGTCATTATCATAGTAGTTATCTATGTAGATGACATAATTTCTTTATGGATAATAAAATATGCCGTGGTTGTGGCCTCCAGGCACCAAATTTCTGGCAAAGTATCTCTTTGCTTTTCATTATTTTAATATTGATTTGACCAATCACTGAGCAGATTCAGATCATGGTATCTTGGAATCATCGAATTATTTGTCGTTTTTTTTTTTTATTCTCAAAAAAAAATTATTTACCGTTTGAAGTAAGGATGAAGTTGATACAAAAAAAAAAAAATAAGAATTATTTGCCGTTTGAATTCAGATCCTGTCTATTTTCTGCTTGTTTTAAGGCCAATGCCGATTATTAGATAGTATATGTGGATAAAACTTTGAAAAATGGGCTCCTTAAGCCAATTTACTGGAAAGTAGAACGACACGAGTTGTTGGATGTTTTTCGGTACTGTTATAATTCAAAAATATAAAAAGTTGTGTTTAAATTCAACCTCTTCGAGTTGGCTGTGCACGTTAATTGGAGAACTTATGTTTATTTGGAAAGTCGACGATCCCGTAACAAAGAAAGGACCAAAATGGCCAAAGAAGGCTAAGGAGTGATGATGAATTGTTTCAGGGACTTTTCGATCGATTTCGGCAGATCATTGGTTGTTCCTGACACACAGAAAACGGGTTAGAAGGACGTCATAGTATTTTTCGGTGTATTCCTTCTAACAATCAATTTAGTTCTTTGAGAAAGAAAAAGAAGAAAGCACTATTTTGGTGTTCCTAAAAAATAATTGTGTACCCTTATCTTCAAGTTTTTGTCACTATTTATACCTTCGAGGACTCATCATTACTGATAGGTAAGACAGTAGATATAACACAATCATTGGACAGTGCCTCCAATTTTGTATAGGGAGAGACCCCGTTATTAATTGCTCGAGTCTTGGGACATTTAATGCCCCCCTTCTTCTCAACTTCCCAAGCCATGGTGGATATCACATCAATTGAGGGTTCATTAAATGTCTGCTTGAGATTGTCATATGTTAATAAGGGGTACTCTTGTCTATTTCCCCCAAATTTTGGACTTCATGCCACGTGTCCAACATCCATCGGTTGAGTGTGTTATTCATTTTGTCATTCTGACTTTATTAGAGAAAATAAGCCCATGATTCTCTATCAAACTCTTAGAATAATGGGTGTAGCCATCAGTAACCTATGTTGGAGCCGAGGTGACGTGTCCAATAAAGGTCCTCAAGTTTCAACCACGCAGGGGGGGAGGGATCAGAAACAAGAGTCTGGAGTTGTCCTGGATGTCGAGCACGTGTCAACTCCAGAGAGCATGGGAGTTTTCGGTGCCGAGGACATATGTCATGGTTAGAAGGCTGAAAGTGTCTTGGTGCCAATGACACG